GGGGGGGGAGCCAACAAAAAAACCTCCAACAAAAAAATCCTTTGGTTTTGGCAGCAGTTCACACTTCTCAACAGAGCACATTTAACTATTAGGCTTTCCCACCTGCAAGGCAAAGGATCCCACATCGCTAGAGAAAAGTGACACCTTGTATCACCTGCCAAAGCACATAATACAGCTAATTACATTGCACGTCAGTGCCAGGCCCAGACGAATCAGAAACTGGGGGAAATACACGCTTCTGTCACTGCCTCAAAGAACTGTGTGTTTTAACATGGTTGTCAGCTAGCATGTAATAGCAGATAAAACAGATTACCCATTTGTCATTCAAACTGATTTTTTTCAAGAAAAAGCTTTCCAGTCTACATTAAGTAGAAACATGTAATTAAATACTTTGCAATCCATAGTAGTTTACAGTAAAAAAAAAAAAAAGCAAACCCCAAACCACAACAATTGAGAAATCCACTCCCAGATGATTTATAGCAATCCTTCTTAAGAGAGTGCTTAGTCTAGGGTACCCTCACAGAATAGGTTTCTATCCTTAATGTTTTAAATAAAACTTTTAAATATGATCCAGAGATTGTGCAAGATAGTACTGTCTTCTTCAATCTCTAGGCAAGTAGCTCCCTTTCCTTCTCTTCTCCTTCCTCTTTTCTTGAGCTGAGCTGGAATGAGATGATTCAGTATCACCCACTTTTACTGCAGGTATTAGGAATAGAGAGTTAACCCTAAAACTGATGTGAAACAGGTTAATTATACAAGCCACTGACTGAAAAAAACTCTGAATCCCAGAAGAGGCAGCCACTGCAGCTGTTGAATATGGTGGACTTGCCAGAAGCAGGATGAAAGAGCAGCAAAGAGGAGTCTGATATCTACCTGCCTGTATCAACATATAAGGGTTATAAGAGGGAACAGACTACATCTTCAAGGAACAAGGAAAATTTAAGAGACAAATTTTTGGAAATGTAACTCTCAAAGGTATCAGAAAGATTTTTTTTAACCATTGTGGAAGAAATCTTTCCACAAACACAGATCGTTTTGGTTTCTTCTCCAACAAGGTTTTAATGGATATTGAGAGTCTTTGTCTTTATTTTTCTGGTTAATTTAAATTGTCAGTCCAAACTTAAGGAGACAGTAGGTGGAGGTGATACAATAAGAGATAGGTAGAACCGTATATTGCCAAGTAAATGCCTACAGAAAAGGGAACAGGCATAGTTGAGTAGGAAAATGACTCCAGAAGAAAGATGCGGCAGACAATGAATAGCAGAGATACAAAAGCACAGACTGTAACTAAGGGATTGGAAGAAGCAAACAAAAATAACACAGAACCTCCCTTACTGGAGGATGGAAAGGAAAAAGCATAATGAAACCACAAAGGTTCAAATGCTTAGTAAGAAGGAAAAATATAGTCACACTAAAAATTAAAAGGGGGGGAAGGGCTAAGTTATAATTAAGTACAGAACACATCTATTCGATTGTAATAAGCTGCAGACACAATTGCTTGCAGATCATAGCTATACTTTGGCTTAAATATTTCAGCTTTACTCTTAAAAGACTTATCTTTCAGCAGTGGTCTTGGAAAGTCTCTACAAATCATGAAGTTCACACAGCCTCAGCAGTACAACAGATACAATACTGTGCACATTTTAACAAAAATGGACTAAAGAGAGATGAAGCAGGAAATGAAAGGCTTAACTGGAATCACAATTTGCCTCTTCATTCCCAGCCTGTGTTTCAACTGCCGGTTCACGTTGTCTCTCCTATTAATCATCACTCGGAGATTAATATGCCTGAAGATTTTGATTACTTCCACATATATCCAAGCTCATTGTTTCTACTTTAAAATCCAACCATTCTAATAAATGTAAATTTTTTGCAAATCAAAGATAGCAGGCAACATTTAAGCTAGCCCTAGCATATTCCAAGCATATACTGCTTCTATATCAACCTGGTCTAACACCCTGGAAGTGCCTTCCCTGGAAGTGAATTATTTATAACTGCAATGTCCTCTGACAACAGGAGTATCAAAGTAATTGTCATCATCAGTTCTGGAACTGCTTTTTATGAAAATCAGAGGTCCACTATGTTGTGCAACAGGGAGAAAGAAAAAGGAAAAATACCCCCAGGTACCCTCCATACACAGATGGAAATGATCAAATGCAAACAATGCAGTACAGGAAAGATTACAGCACAAGTAAGGTTTAAAATATCCCTAATACAATAGATTATGTTCAGGCATTCAGTCTATGTGTATCCTTAAAAATAAACAAATATTTTAAGAATGACAACATAGCCCCTCATTGGATGTTATTTGTTAATATATACTCACATATACTTCACTGTGATCAAAGCGCTTTTTCAAATTATTGATGAACGAATCTTCATCAAGTGGCTCTAAAAGAACCATATCTCCCACCCCTATCATGTTGTCTAAAAGTGACGTCTTGACCTCCATTTTGGCCATTTTCTCCTGCAAAGAAAGAAACGAGAAAAAAAAAAAAAGAGCAAAGTTAGCTCAAAATTATTCTAATTATTCACAGGCATTATCCAGTAACACTATTTAAAGAATACAAGTCAAAACCCCATCAAATGACACTGCTTTAAAATATTTTTCCAAGGAACATTCTCAAAGTCATTCTATCTACCCAGGTAGTCCACGCAATTCCAAAAATTAACTTCTAACAGTCAACAATGCTTTCTGGTTCACTAAACATTAAATATGAAACTGCAAGAAACAGGAATTAAGATTCCAGTGGGACTTCAACAGTGTTCAAGTGTACGCGAACCCAAGTTCTATCAAAAGCATCATCAACATCTCCAGTGTATCAAATTAGGGTTTAAATTTGTCAATACCCTAACCTGAATTTCTTTCTCACCCTTACTTGCATTTCTCCAATCCCATCAACTTTTAGATGGAAATGAACTAAGTGAACTCATGCAGAGACAAAACCCACACAATTTTATCTTAATTCAAGAACCCTGTACTCGAGTGCCTATATTCCAGTACAGTACTGCTCTTGGTTACACGAGGCTACCAAATTACTTCATTTCCTAACCAGATTTATTTGGATTTATTTGTAATTTTATTGCTTAAGAGACCATCTTCGTTGGGTAGCAACAATCCAGCTGACAAGTGGAGACTCTGCATCTATATAACTGGAGTGGCAAAAGGCAAAAGCCAGGCTTAAACAAGGGATCAGGATCAAAGAAAGTAACCAAGTCTGATAAATGAAGTAATTCAGACAAAGAAGTCAAGATCAGGCCAAAATCAACACCTATTTGATCGTCCCAGCCTTTTATCCTTCCAACCCAAATGCTAGAGAAGATTAACCGAGCTCCTCACGAACTCCAGGCGCACAGTTACTGCCTTCAGCTTTCAAGACAGGACTGAACAATGAACCTATTAGCAGTGGTGGCCTGCAAATGGGGGACCAGAGGTGAGAGAACAACTTTGCTGACCACACAAACCAAGAACCAACTACTGCACAGCTACAGCTACACAAACAAGAGTTGAACTTCACCAGTCAGCTGTAACCTCTCAGCTATGAAATGCTACCAGGCTGTCCTTGCTCCCCCTATCATTACAGCATATTTTAATTGTAAATATTTTTTCTCATTTTTCAAAACGTCTTTGAACAGCTATTAGCTAATACAATCAGCATGAACTTGCCGTAATAGCTATCCATCAGATAACTAATTTAAAACAAGTGAAGCCTTTTATCTCTTGTTTCTGTCCACAGCCACTGCATTACTACATGCTATTTGATTTTTGAGCAGTGAGTGACATTTGAGGGATATTAGATCAAGACTTAGGTCGTGTTTGATGTTTTTCCAAATTCAACGAAGAGAAGCGTAGCTCCACAGGCAGCTAACGGAAGCGATACAAGAAGATCCCCAAAACCTGAACCAAGCCTGGGAATTACTAGAAATTCACATGGAAATGCAAAAACAGTGCTGAACTATGGTAACCAACCAAAGCTGAGTCAACTCTGCTAAACAAACAAAAGAGCATTTATTTTAAACAAAAACACTGGACAAATATTTCTGTAGAGAAAGATACTTTTATTCTTAAAAGTTCACCTCTCTGAATCACCAAAAAAACTTCAAATATTCACAAAATCTTTTCAAATTCACTTCAACTTCTGCATCCCATTAAGATAAATTCTTTAAATTACCAGTCTTGTTTCAATGACCTAATTACTTCCCATACATCAGCTAATGCTCAAATAATTTTTGAAGACTGGGGAAAAAAAAAAAGTCCTTCTCAAGTATGGAACTTATTAAATATTGGGTTTGTAGCCAAAAAAAAAAAAAAAAGCCAACATAAAAATCCTAAAATGGGCAATTTCAACCTAAAATTTAAGTTCTTAGTAGTATACCTCATTTACCATTGTGAAATTACATACCACCTACCACACTTCATGCATCACTGCTCGGGAATTTCAAGGCCAAGAGCAGCCAAACCCATCAAGAACATTCATGTATTCCCAAGCTCAGAGGCATGTTTTGCAGAAGAGGTGCACAAAGACACCATATCTACTACTAAAAACTGGATTAGAAACTTGTATACAAATAGTAATTTAGCAATATATTTGAAAAGTTCAATTTTATGGTCAAAGGTTAATTTTCAGCCTGGTTTTTTTCCACAATAATGTAACATCATACTATGGTTAAAATATTTCCATTAACTTGAGAGCTAGAAAATATTAGAAACATAGGTGATGAACAAATTGGACAATACGCCTAGACAACTTGTTTAACACTGAATTCTCAAAACCATTTGCAATAGCTTGGCCTTTGCAAAATATTCGTTAAAGATTACCTCATACACTCATTCAAGAGTATCTGCCATACCAATGCTGTTAGCCCCCAACTTGGTGCAATCCAATCATAATCCCTGCTCTGGTTTAGCTAGCAACAAAGAAAAATCTGACAAGATTGTGGGATAATTTGGTTGCCTATCTGAGGTAACAAGTGGGAAAAAAAGCACTGTTAAGAAAAGCCAACAATGTTTAAACATACATTGAACAATTAGATTTAATTTAATCTATGATTGAATTTAATCCACCAGAAGAATTTAATAGAAGATCAATGTATACAGCACTTTCAAAATACCAAATACTAATTTTAAAAACAGGTTTTAAAAAACCCTCAAAAATCAGCACATTACACAGGGGGAAAAAAAAAATCAAACCCTTGCTACATTGCAAGACTAAACTTCAGTCAAGATTTTTAGCAATATGTCACTAAGCTTAGAAACTCAATCCAAATCCAAGTCCAAGTATTTGTGTTTGCCATATTTTCAAAGACGCCTTGCAGCTGGAAATCTTTTCCCATCAGTGCTGGTGACAGCATGCTCACAAGGATTTGGAGAACAGTACATAAAAGTAAGCGGCTTCTACCTATACGTGTATTCATGCAGCTTTAAAAAGATGAACGTTTCTCAAGAACCGTTTTCAAGAACCAGACCTATGAGAGGAACAGGATGCTCCCCGTGTCTGAGAGATCAGTAATGACTGAAACCACAGCTGTGCTGGTGAGACAGCGCCAGCAAACAGGAAATTAGGTTAGAGGAAAGAACGAGAATGGGTTGTGTCCCTTAAAACAAGGACACCTTTAGTTACTTTCAAATGAAGGTTGCTGAATGGGGGAAGGTGGATGGAGGTACTGCTGAGAGGCTCTATTTGAACTGTGCTGTAATTTCATTCATAATAAAATAACCTAAAAATATAAGTGGTACTCCATCGATTTACCTAATACATTGCTTTTGTGACTGCAACATCTCATTCTGTTGACACCAAGAAAAACAACAATGTTGTATAAAGATTACTGCTGCACATTACTAATATAGCAACAAATTAGCTCGGCAAAACCCCCAAAATTCTTCTAACGCTTGCAGTCTACAAAACAGACTCTTCCTCAAACATTCCCTGATCTCTCCCACACCCACTTACCACTTGAGTCTTCTCCCAAATTTATCTTTCTTATCCCTAAAGCAAACATCGGCAGCATTTCAGAACATCTCCCTTTTCTCTACTCATCTGTCAAATCTATTCTTCCTCACTTTGGTCTCATACCTAGGCCTTAATTCAACAGAGTGAGAACACTTTCAACACGTTTCCATTCTCAGAAAAATAAAAAAGATTATTTAGTAATCCTTCACAGCTCGAGAGGTTTTATGTTGGACAACATGCTCGGGAGGAGAAGTGTTGGGCATGCTATGTCTGTAAAATGCTTTTATCCACATGCTCCCACGTTACATATAGCCTTTAAAAACACAGACTGTTGTATCCGCTACTTGCAATGCCTGGGATCGCCATCCAGCTGGCCAGTTGAATCTAAAACATTCTTGTCCCTCCTGGCCACAAGGATGGCAAATTAAAAATTATGCTATTCCACAGCCACAGCAGTCCTATCATCAGCCAATCTGAAAGGGGAGCTAATGAAAACTATAAATAGAACATGATACAGCGAACAGGCAAAACCCCAAAAGCCTTGTACAATTAAGTTCACACATCCTCCAAGGGGAAAATGAAGCAGTATCCCATTATTAGCACATGGCATGTTACAGAATTGTCCAAGATTTTCCACGTCACCCTCACAGAGTAAAACAGCAACAACTGTAAGCAGCTTCCTACAGATGTGCAGTCCTTAGCACACGTTTGCATTTGCTGCACTGGTATTATCACTGGCTGCAGAGGTGACTTGTTTTTCTTCTTTTGTGGCATTGTAGAAAAAGGACAATTTCCCTACCATCAAAATTGTCACAATAGATGTACTCACATATGCTTCAAGCTCTGATTATTAAAAAAAAAAACAAAACCCTTTGGTTTCACTACCACAACTGTAGAAAATAACCACCTTTTTCTTTTATAAGAGTTAACAGGAACAACTTGCAACATCAGTAATTCAATAGGGGAGGTGAAACTGATTTCACACTCCAGGTCTGATCCTGAGCTCCCGTCAGGCTGTAATTATGCTTGCCCACTCATTCTCTGTCAGGGAGCAATCGGCCCACACAGAGCAGGGACACTGACAGGCCACTGCGGCAAAACACGGCTAGGGACAGTGTCATTACCTGAACAAAACAAAACCAAAAGGGACTACAGCCGTCTTGTACTACTCATGACAAGCGTAAGTACCAATTTAGCAAGAGGCAGGATTTTAATTCATCCTGTTCTGCTGCCCAACAAACCCCATGTATCTCTGAACTCCGACTGATGTCCAGAAGGTGCAAGTTCGTTGGAAACACCTTGTGCTGGTTCACCAGGTAAACTGAGGCAGGCTCTGCAGATGAACTATTACAGTGTCCTTTTCACTCAAAGCTACATTTCCTGACATCAGCATGTAGGAAAACGTTGATACCATCCAAAGAAAATATTTGCTTTGCCTCCAGACCCCCTAACTTTTTAGATTCTGGATGCTGCAGGGGATCAGTGCACGCAGCATCTGCTGCCTGGCCGCTGTCTG